CTGGTGAAAATTTCATGTCATTAGCACCTCTAGTAATATATTTACTGAGAAAAATGGTGACGTGTTCAATACTTATTTTACCCGCTGTACTTAAGGTTAAATGGATAGTTTAAAACGTTGATAAATGAGATTGCAGATAAAACACTCCAGTCTGGGAAGAAATTGTGAAGCTACAGACAGCAGACAGAAAACAAAAAGAGAAATTGCTTGCTTGGCTCGACATTGGGTTAAAAAAAAACACCAACAACCCCCAACAACAAAACTAATTAATTAGCATATTTTGCTTTAGTGTAAAAAAAAAAAAAACAGTTTTCTCTCTTCTCATAACTCACCACCATGTAGGCAAGTTTTAGTAATGTTTAGATACGGTGTTGGAAATGTAAAGTACAGACAAACCTGCCTTTATTTTAGCAAAAAATAAGAAAATAACTGGTCCTTTTCTGTTGCGCATCGAAAACTAAAGTCAGCTTTAATAAACCTTTAACTTAATTTAGCTCAGTCTATTTGTTTCACACAAACCCTTACACTTGTATCTAATTCATCAAAAATAAATTTATAGTATTTTAGGTCATTATAAAACACTTTACACAGTAATACAGTACAACACAATCTACTAATGCAGTTATCAAAAGGTGTGGATAACTCCAAGTGGATTGAATGGGTCAAGCCCAAACAAGTGCATTCCATTGAACTCTAAGCATGACTCAACAAATTTTACAAGTTGAGATAACTCCCATAATTACACATCAGACACGCTAACCGCATTTCCCCTAACAGTTTCCTTCATGTTTACCCATCTCACCAACTTCTGGCCTACTTTTTCTTCTTCTTCTTTTTAAATCATGAACGCTTTGTTTTTCTTTGTGCAAATCAATTATCTTTACAATCAACAGCGTTGCGGAGTTGTCACAACAAATTCCTGTTTTCACAATGCTTCTGTGGCAGCATTATCAATAATGACAAGCACATTTGTTGTGTGCAGCTCGTCTGGAAACCGAGTTTGAAATTCAACCAGTTTTCATGTCACGAATTGGTTAATTCATAAACTGCTGATGGAACCACAACAGAGGCAGAATGTTCAGATTAAAGCTGATTAGAGAGTGAAAATATAAAAAGTAATGTGCCTCTCAGTGCTGACTCAGCTGGTGCAGAGCAGTAGTAGCTATTCACAAAAAAAAAAGTATTATTATTGTATAACATTTCTGGACATTTAAAGAACATTTGCAAAAAGCTTCATGGTAACCATTAATGCGTGGTTATTTTTCAACTATCCAAAAACTCTGATTTCTAAATTGATATAAATTTTTCTGTTCTTTAACCCAGATACAAAAAGTCTGACATCACGAAAGTTATTTTCAAAGCTCATTCAACTGAAATCACGAATCACTTTTGCTCACCAAAAACTCTTATCAAAACAAAAGCCCGGTCAGGGTTTATTGTGTRGAGCAGGGCTATTCAACTGGTGGTCAGCGGGCCACATYCGGGCCGYGAGTGACMAAAGTTYGGCCCGCCAATTGGTTTGTAAGAAATATTCATTTTCAAAGACTGAAGTCATTAGAAAACCACCAATGTTAAATAATATGATTGTTAGATGAAATAAAACCATACAAAACCAAAATTCTGGAGTGGGGTTTATTGCCATTCGGAGCTGACAGGAAACCACACACTGCCGGCAAACCAGGAAGTTGATCCATTTATACAGAGTCTTCAATGTCCGCGTTCGCCCCCTACTGACCTACGGCTGAATCACAGGCATTCATACACAATTCTCACCTATTGTTCTCATAACGGATAAATATGTGTTGTTATAGATATTTCGGACATGTAACTAATCTATATCAATAAACACATAATAGATTAACCATTATAAAAAGGAAAACTTAAAAATATAGTGTTGTGCTTTTAACATCAGTACTAATCTGTAATAACTATAAATTTCTTCAGGTTCATTCATCTCTTAAGACCAAACCCCCAGTTTTCTACTTTAATTAAGTTCTTTTAAACATAAACATGCTTTGTATCTACAGAATCTTGAGTAGAAGCTGGTTAAAAAAACATTTCTATGAAAACTCAAAGACAGGTAAAATTGCAAGCAGTCGAAGATAAAACTATGAAAGTGAAAAAATTTGGCGAGTCAGAGGTGTCAAAATCAGGTATGTGTTAAGTAGGCCTGTGTATTGGCAAGAATTTGGCGATACGATACATRTCATAACAGAGGGGTCACGATACGATATATCCCGATATATTGCAATACTGTAAGCAAGGCAATATGTTGCGATTTTTTGTCCAAAAATTCTTTTAAATAAAAACCTGTTACTGAAAAAAAGGCTAATGTTTACTTACAATGCTAATGCTACCCTTACTCTCTGGCGCTCAAGAGGTAGAGGAGCCAAATGGCTGGCTCACTGCTGCCAACTAGTGGTCAGAGGCTGAACTACAACATAAAAATGAACGGCTGGCAAGAAAGTTGACATTTTACAACTTTAATAAAAAATCGGTACAGGGCTTTAGAATATCAATACAGTATCGGGAAATGAAATATCGCGATATTTCAGTGAATCGATATTTTCTTACACCCCTAGTGTTAAGAGGCATAATGTGTTCTTTTTGTTTTTGGAATTGTTTAATTACCACTACTCTTATAGTATGTTGTATCCATGGTTAAATGCAGTAAAATAAACTATTTCAAAGGTAACAAGTCATTCGGTCATTGAGCTGTTTTGCAGTAAYTGTGGCCCCAATAATTTAGTTGAATAGCCCTGAGTATAATCCAGATTGATAAAGAAAAACATCCTAAAGAGATTATAAATGACTATTAAAAAATGATGGTGTTTAACCCAACTTTGGGAATCCCAGCCCAAATGTGCATTCCAAGGCTTTACGCCTGAAGCGTGAAAAATCAAACCAAAACATAATTTTAGAGCGTGATGATCTTTGGACAACCACCACACGACTCCAGTCAGTGTCAGGATGTTTTAAACCCTCAGCCCCACATACGTCTCAGATACAACTTAAAACCAGAAATAMGTGGAGAGCTCAGAAGTTACCCCAGCAGGGTGGATGCTTTCGAAGAACCGGAGTTCCAGAAACCCAGGGCCTGTTTACATCGCTAGCCCGTGTTAGCACCGGAGCGTTCGGTCACATCGAGCCCCACACGGGGCGGCACTCGCCTGAGCCGGAGCCTCGTTTCGAGCCCCCGGTAATCCCCGCCAGCAGTCAAAGCTACACCGACAGACAGAGCCTGGCCAGGCGTTGTTTCCACCTTCCACCCACAACAGCGAATTCGCTAATATTAGCATTCAGTAGTTAGCTTACGGAACGCGAACTGTCAAGACTTGGCGAGCTAGCGTTCCTCCTCCTGCTCCACAAAAACCACTTAGCGCTGGGAAAATACCCACAAACATCACCCATCATGGATGAGAACCCGGCAACCCCCCGAGGCTAGCTTCACTAACCCACAACCACGAAGTCGTTCTCGGGTTATACTTACAGAAATACGCTATAGAATCCGTCTGCCCATTGAAAGCCGCTGGTCATATGTAAGAGCAACACACAGAGCTGTGACATAAACGGTTTTCAATCGGTGACCCAGTTTCTCGCCACCGTCAGGACTGTCGGACCACTAACCTAGTTTTTCAGCCAATCGCGTCTGCGCCACCTTCGTAGGTGTTCCTCCAGCCAATCAGACACGAGCTTAGGCAGGGGGCATATGATTGACGCGGGAGTCGACCAATGAGTGAGGGAGAAGGACGGAATGCCGAGGCCAGTTGTGTGAGAGCGCGTTATGGAATACACACTGCTAACAAGCCATTTATTAGGAAGGCTTACAACACGAGCTGGCCCTATATGAGTATTATATTTTAAAATATTTACTATGACATCTTTACGTGTTATGTTTAAATCTGGCAGTAAAAAACAGACTGCAAAGTTTGTTTCATTCATCATTTAAAAGAACATTGTGTTCTTTTCACTTATTCTTGCTTTTATTTAATCTTTTTTTACTTCATGCTCACTTCTAAATTGCGGATAATTATGTTTTTTTATTATTTGAATTACCTTTATTTTGATCCTATTTTAAATTCAGGTGAGACATTCAAAGCATAAAGATATTTGGGATGAYTGTAGTTTTTCAAGTTGCACTTTGGCGCCCCCTGATGGTCACACGTTTACACACATGCTTGTGTCGTGTTTACTACTAAAAGCTCAAGTTTAACCTTGCTGTAACTCCTATATAATATTGTGTTTGATGCTGTTACTAATGAAATATGTGGACTCTTTAGAAACAGTGTTTTTGATGAAGAGAAATCCTTGTTGAATGTAACTGACASCACTGTTGGTAAAGCTTGCTTTCCCTCAACCTGCAGGCCCAGGAACAACACAATTATCCGTGCCCTGTTTCTGCATGATCTTATTTCTGTTCCCTCAGCTGCTGTGTTCTGCTGGAAGAACTTTGTCCCTGATTCACAGGGGGAAAATGTGTGGACATTTCATCAGGAACTGTTGATAAATAAAATGAAATATGTCTCCTTTAAACTCCTTTAAACACAGAATATATCCTACTAATCAGTTCATGAAGAAATATATWAAAACAATCRAYTCCAACTGTAAATTTTGCAAAGAGCACCCAGAAACAATCAGTCTTTATTGTAAAGATTTTATCATTTGTAATATTGACATTGATTTTTCATTAAGTTATGAACACATTACGTTTGGTTTTCATGGAAGGAATGCTAATATATATAAACAAATTCCCTTCTCACCCTCCGCGGGTGGTCTCTTTCATCCTCTGAGCTCGGGTCCTCTACCAGAGGCCTGGGAGCTTGAGGGTTCTGCGCAGTATCTTAGCTGTGCCTAGAACTGCACATTTCTGGACTGAGATGTCTGATGTTGTTCCTGGGATCTGTTTTAGCCACTGCTCCAGTTTGGAGCTTTTTCAGATGGCCCCGATGACCACAGGCACCACTGTGGTCTTCACCTTCCAGGTCTTTTCCAGTTCCTCTCTGAGGCCCTGGTA